CTGCGCTTCGAGCACATCCACCGCAGGGATTGGAAGCACCCTGACGGCAGACCGTGGGTGCCGCATCATCCCCACCCACGCGAATCGGCGTTACACAACCCCGATCCAGATGGCATCTGCAGGGATTATTACACGCCGACGACGTCAACGAGAGCGATTGCCGGCCGCGGACTCGCCGCCATCGCTGAAGCAGAGCGCCACGCGCCCCCAGAGGAAGGGATGACGCAGCTCGAGCTTGAAGTTACCACCCACGGCATCTTCGGCATGCCAGAGCATCCCCTCATCGGTCCCCCCTCACAGCACCTTCAAGGCATGCTGCGCGGAATTGGCGTCGGCACCTCTGATGCCCATGGCGAGCCGCGACCTCAAACCTACGAGAGGTTTTTGGCCATCTACTCTCATCGACGCGACTCATCGAAGAAACTTACCGCGGAGCAAGAGGAAGAATTGGCGCGCCGCGAAGCAAGAGGAAGAATTGGCGCGCCGCGAAGCTGAGGAGCTTCGCCAGCAAAGCCTCGCAGAAGCACGTGGAACCTTCGCTTGCGCCACCTGGGGAGCCGAGGCTGAAGAAAGTGCCTCCAATGAAGGGGGGTGGGGAAGCGCTGGAGGATGGGGAACAAGTGACACTGGCGGCTGGGGAGACACCGGCGGAACCTGGGCCAACGCGAGCGGCGGATGGGGCGCCGCAACTAGCGCCGACAATAGCGGCTGGGGTACTTTCCGCGAAGAACGAAAGGGGGGAGAGGACGAAACTGGGGAAACTGAGGCAACACCTGCAGTCGTTCCTCTTGGCCGTCCCCCGCATCACGTTCCACTCGCACCACCTCCTCCCGACAACCCCCCGCGTCGCGATCCATGGGACACTATCATCTGGGGCAACGAGCCGTCAACCCCGCATCGCACCGTCTACGGACCTGCCCTTGAGCCACGCGAACCGGCGTTCGTACTTGGCACGATCCCCGGGACCAACATTCCGCTCTCTGAGATTCGTGACAGATAGTTCTTGGCGCTGATGCTAACCACCGCGCTGGAAGAAGAAGCAGAGGGAGTAGCAGCAGAACCTGCTCCTGTACCTGACGAAGACCCTGAGGAAGCACGCGCACGCTACATACGCACCTCCGGCTTTCGCGCTGACGATACTCTCTGGCACCAGCGCCTCGGACAACCTTCATGTGCGACACTGAAAAACTGCATCGACGCAGGCGTCTTCGCTCCTGGCGCACTCCTGCGCCCTGATGGCTCCGAAGTGAGAGGCGCGACACATCCGCGTAACTGCACCGTCTGCCCCGAAGCTGCGCTGAGCCACCAACCGTTCCCGCTGCTCGAACCTGGAACAAACCGCTACCCCAAGCTACACAAGGCGTACAGCGATTTCCTGAACGTGGGGCACTGCGGAGCCGAGGACGAAATGTACACGCTCACCTTCATCGACGCTGGAACGCGCTACGTGTGGGTCGTGAACGTGGAGTCACGGGACAGAGCCTACGAGGTGTTTCGCCTCTGGCTGGCGCACGCAGAGCGACAGTCTGGGAAGAAGCTGAAAATCTGGCAATCTGACGGCGCGGCAGAATTCAGGAGCGACGAGATGCAAACCTACCTCACGCAAAAAGGGATCGAGCACCATGTTTCTCTCCCCTACCCGCACCAGCAGCAGGGCGTAGCTGAGCGGACGAACCGCACGCTAATGACGAAGGTGCGCACGCTGATGAAGCAGTCGAAATTCTCGCCGATCTACTGGACCTACGCGATGCACCACGCAGTACGGGTGCACAACCTACTCTCGACCACCGCCATCACCGGCAATCTGTCCCCGCACGTCAAATGGACCGGAACCAAAGGGGATACCTCCATGCTGCACGTATGGGGGTGCATGGTTCAATACTGCCCGCCGACTTCAACCATCGGCAAATTCGCCAGCCGCGCTCGCTGGGGGATCCACCTCGGCATCAATCATGAGTACAAGGCGTGGATCGTGCTGGACCTCCTCAGTCAGAAATCGCTCACGCTCGCGACGTTATCTTCTACGAGCGCCTCTTCCTCGACCAGTTCCGCCGCGACGAAGAAACGAACGCGAACCGCGTCTACGCTAACGATGGGCACAGCTACGCAACGCCCGAAGACGAAGCCGCTGCAGCAATCATGGAGCAGGACACGAGGGGCGAGTTCATGTGGGAAGAACGACGCAGCAGCGACGACGACGACGACGATTCCTCGGGAGGAGGAATGGGCGGAGCAGGCGGAAGCGGAAGAGGCGAAAGCGGCAGAGGCACAGCACCACCAGCGCCTCTTGAACCAGAAAGCAATGACGACGACGTACAGGAAGTCATCCCGCAACGTCGCCACGACAGCACTATCTCAGGACTGCAGCTGCTCGGGCTTCACACCGCAACTTCGAAGGCGCCACGTGTCATCGAGCCCCGAAATCCGCGCGAAGCTCTTTCTGGACCACACAGCAAGGAGTGGCGCGAAGCAATGGATGCGGAAATTCGGGCACTCGAGTCGCGCGACACCTGGGTGCTCGTCGACCGTGCAGCAGTAAAGGGTAGAAGGATTGTCTCCGGCAAATGGGTCTTCCGAGTGAAGACAGGAGCCGACGGAAGGATTGAGCGATTCAAGGCACGCTGGGTGGTACGCGGCTACGATCAAAGGCACGGGATTGATTTTGACTAGACATTTGCACCGGTCAGCCGTCACACGTTCGTCAGAATTCTTCTCGCCATCGCAGCCGCACGACACCTACCACTACGGCAGATTGATGTGAAGAATGCGTTCCTGTACGCATTAGTGGACACCGTGATCTACGTGGAACAGCCACACACTTACGACGACGGAGACCCACGCGTCTGTCAGCTACGCAAGTCCCTCTATGGGATCAAACAGGCACCAAGACTCTGGCAGCAGTATCTGCACAACATACTGCTCTGCTTGAAATCGGGTTCAAGCAGCTCCCTCACGATCCTGGAATGTATCGCCGCGATTTCCGCGGCGAATACATCCTCCTCACGGTCTACGTCGACGACCTTCTCTACACAGGCTCAAGAAACGAACTACTCGAGCAGTTTGAGAGAAGCCTCGCAGGGCGCGTCGACATCACCTGCAATCATGACGTGAAGCAGTTTCTCGGACTCAACATCACCTACTCGCCGGAAGCCATTCATCTCTCAGCAGCGAAGTATGCGGAGGAGCTTAGCAAGCGCTTCAACATTGCGCCCGCACCACTCTCCACCCCTTACCGCACTCCAGGACCCAACCACAAGCCTGACAGCAAAGCCCTGTCCCCTGCTGGGCTTCACATTTACCAGCAGCAGTTGGGATGCCTGCTTTTCGCATCTGTTACCTGCAGGCCCGACCTCTCCTACATTGCAAGCCACTTGGCTCAGTACTCACGCAAACCAACGGCTGAGAATCTCTCAGATCTTCAGCGAGCCCTTCAATTCTTCATCTCCACGCCCAATGTCGGGCTCAGTTATTCCACCATCCCAACCACATCCTTCAGTCTCGTCGGCTACGTGGATGCCGATCACGCCGCTAACCCTGACAATCGACGGTCCAGGACAGGGTTCCTCTTCCGCCTCGAGCCCAGCGGCCCCATCTCCTGGAACTCTCAGAAGCAGGAGTTGGTTGCCCTGTCATCGGCGGAAGCTGAATTTATTGCAGCAACAGCAGCTGTTCGCGAAGGTCTCTACCTTCAGGAACTGCTGCAGGAAGCAAAAATTCCGGCCTCAACGAACTTTTGCCTGCACTGCGACAACCAGAGCGCGATTCGCATCGCGAACAAACCTGGTTTCATCAACCGCACCAAGCACATTGCGCTGCGGTACTTCTTCGTGAAGGATGAGGTGGACAAGGGCAAGGTCAACTTGACCTACTGCCCGACCGGTGACATGGCAGCAAACTTCCTCACGAAGCGACTGCCACGCCAGCAGTATCAGCACTGCTCCGAACTCAGCGGCGTGGTCAAGCAGGTCAAGTCTAGCTGCGGCCAGGAGTGAAGGGGGGTGTTACGAATAGTAATACTTGAATATTACTGTGCACTCCTCACTGCAGCAAAGAGAAGCACGCAGTATCGCGAATGAACGCGAAGCGTCAGACGGTTGGAAACGACTCAAAGCGTCAGACAGTTGGGACGCATCTGAACCGTCGGAGCAGACAGCATCAGGCAGCTGCAGGCAGGATGGTTTCGGTGGGAACAGTTTCGTAACTGTTCGCGCCGCACGGTTGGGAATGTATTTGAATAAGGGAATGTACCCATTAGAGTACATGGCTAGCTAGGTCGATTCATATTCCCCTGTACTCTTATTTATATCGTTGTATTTGCATGTCTTAATTATCTCAAGCATTTACATTCACTCTGCTATTGAGGTCAAGGGCCCACCAACATCACTTCTCTGCGTGCGAACCTTCCTGAGTAGATCCTTGGCCACGATCAACTTCTGATCTCAGGATCTATTAAGACACTTTGAATTGTTAAAAAAAAAAATATCAAAGGGCTTTCTTCATAGAGAACAAAATGAACTTCATAGATGAACCACGCAAGTTGAAGAGGTTCTAGCTTAGTAATAGGGTTTCTACAGTTACACACAGAATAGTATCATAAACGCGAGACCTAATATGGCCAACACTTTGTTTCGAAATCATCATGGATTCATGGCCGTCCGAGGGAAAGTCTGCTCGAGTCCCTGATGCGCTCTGCTAGTCTTAGCTTCGCCCGCGAAGGGCTCCGGTAAGGTCGTCATCTCACCTTTCCCTGTTGCAGTTCGTTTCGCGTCCCGTATATGTGCAAGGAGCAAGTGCTCAAGCTCTTTCTAGGCCTCCTCTCAATTCTCAACCTCATGGAATCTCTTAGATTCGAAATATATAAAGAAACAAACTTGAGAATTGGTTAGGATCCTAATATACTTCGGATCTTGGTTCCACGCTGAGTCCTGGTGTGAAAATCAGCAGCCTCAATCTCCGCAAATTGCCTCTGTTCGGCCTGATTTCAAATGGTATCAACGGCCATGCCACCGCGGCGCGTCAAAATCAAGGGCCTACCCGCGTCACGTCCCTCCGTCTTAAGTCCTCTCCCTCGCTCCGCCTCTCTCACCTCCACATCCGCGCCTGTCGTCTCCGCGTTTCTCGGCGCGCTCGGTCGCTACCGTCGCCTGCTGCTCGTGCTGCTCCTGCTCGCGCTCTCCAACATCGCAGGTGAGTCTCGACTCATTTGCTGCCGCCCTCAGTCCCCACCTCCCTCACTCGCTACCCCCCTCAGTCCCCACCTCCCTCACTCGCTACCGCCCTCAGTCCCCACCTCCCTCACTCGCTACCGCCCTCAGTCCCCACCTCCCTCACTCGCTACTGCTCGCTACCGTCGCCTGCTGCCCGTGCTCCTCCTGCTCGCGCTCTCCAACGTCGCAGGTGAGCCTCGATTCGTGTGGAAGGTCATTGTTGTTGTCGTCCGTCCTCGCTCGCGACCGCCCTCTCAGTCGCCACCGTCCTCAGTCGCCCCCGTGGGATGCTGTATGGCTCTCATTTTCCTGCTCACCTCACTCACTGTCCCACTCACAGGGTACTACTACCCGGTGCTCTGGTCGCCAGCCCGCCATCCGACGCTTGAGTCAACTCAAAAGACTTTAGAGCTGGCTCAACTCAAATATCACCTTCGTTCTCATCCTCCTGCTCACCTCACCCACTGTCCCACTCCCAGGGTACTACTACCCGGTGCTCTGGTTGCCAGCCCGCCGTGCGACGCTGCTGGCGACCCGCGCGACGGTCCTGTCGCAGTGGTGGGGGAACGTGTCGCATCCGTCGCATCCGTCGCTAGGCAAGGAAGAGGGCTACGAGTTGAGGAGGATTATTTCCAGCGACGAGGCGCTTGGGGAAGGGGAGAGGGTAGGGGGACGGGGAAGCGGAGAGGGAGGGGGAAAGGGAAGAGCAGAGGGAGTGGGGAGGGGAAGTGGAAGGGGAGAGGGAGGGGGAACGCGGTTGATACGAGCAGAGGATTCACAGCATGTGAGAGACGTCCCCGTTACTGTGTATAAGAAGGGGACTCGCATAGGGAAAAAAGACGAGGCAGGAGGAGAGGCAAGGAGCGGATTGCAACGGCTAAGAGAGGGAGGGGGAGGGAAAAGGGGAATGGAAGGGCAGAGGGGAGAGAAACTGGGAGGTTTAGAGACGAATAAAGGCGGAGGGAGGGGAGGAGGAGAGGAGGAGAGGGGAGGAGGAGAGGGAGAGAGGGGAGTAAGTGGGTCGGGGGAGGGACAGACGGGGGAGGAGGGTGGGGGAAGGGCGGATGAGGCTGTACACGTGGAGCAGTGGGATTGGCAGAGAGAGTACCTGGAGGACGTGGCGATCCGTGTGTCCCAAGAGAAGCTGTGTCGCGGGATATTCCCGAGGGACGTTGCAGCAGAGGAGGAGGATGAGAAAAGGTATGCCAGATGGCAACCTACAGGGCTGTCAGGGGGCTGTCAGGGGGCTGTCAGGGGGGCTGTCAGGGGGCTGTCGAAGGGCTGTCAGGGGGCTGTCAGGGGGCAGTTAAGGGGCACTCTCCCAGTACATATATGTGCTCTCCCTACCCCCGCACCCCTTTACCTACTCCCCACCCACACCCGCTTTCCCACTCTCCCCCCGTCCCCTCGTTCCCATCCCTTCCCCACTCCCCTGTCCGCCTTCCGGGGCAAAAGCAGCCACCCCATCTCCCGCCTTTTCACCTCTCCCGCACGCCTGGCGGGGAGGCGGCTGGTCACCCTGCACGGGGGGGAGGCGGCTGGCCACCCTGCACGGGGGAGAGCACCACAAGGTGTATGACCAGCTGCTGTGCCTCTGTGCCACGCCTCTCATCTCTCTCTTTCCCTCCCTCCTCCTGTCCGCCCAACAGCCTGCCTATCTCCCGCCTGGCCCACCTCTCCCGCCCATCACTCCGCTCGCTGGTCTTCCTGGCCCGCCACGGCCTCGGCAACTCCCTGCGTGGCTTCGTGTCCGCCTTCGTGTTTGCACGCCTGTCAGGGCGACACCTAGTCACCCTGCACGCGGGGGAGCACCACAAGGTGTATGACCTGCTGTGCCACGCGTTTCACTGCGGGTTTGACGGGGTCCGATGGGGCGGGCCGGGGGAGGGTGGAGGGGCGGGAGAAGCAGGGAGAGAAGACGGAGGAGATTGGGGAGGAGGAGGGGGAGGAGGAGGGGTAGGAGGAGGGGTAGGAGGAGGGGGGGGGGGGGAGGAGGGAATGGAACGGAGGGTGGGGGAGGGGGAGCAGCGGGGGAGGGGGGAATGCTGTTGCCGATGGAGCTGTATCGGCGATTTAATGAAATGCAGCCCAAATATCTTATGGAAAGCATCAAGAGCATTCCAGGTGGGTTGGTGTGTATGCGTGTGAGAGGAGGAGCATGTGCGTGTGAGAGGGAGAATGTAAAAGATATGCGGTTTCATTGAGCTGCAGCCCAAAAATCTCATGGAAAGCATCAAGAGCATTCCAGGTGCGCAAAGCTAATATCTCTCCATACGTGCCCATGCCTGACGGGATTGAAGTCGCAGGGTGCATTTGATATTTCTCAAGAACACCCTAAATCATATATCCCTCCTTACCATGCCTGAAGGATCTGAAGCCTGTGCACGTGTGTCTTTCGAAACAGTTGTGCCTGTGCACGTGTGTCTTTCAAAACAGTTGTGCCTGTACACGTGCATGACTGTATGCTTGTAAGCGCCGGTACCTGTCTCTGGCTCGTTCATTGTAGCAACGTGGGACGCCCTCGTCTCATCTCATCCCATCCTCAAGGCTTTTTCCGAGTCTCCTAAATAATCACATGACTGTGTGCCTGTGTGCCTGTGACTCTAATTGTGTGCAGCAATGAGGAATGCCCTCGCCTCCACCCATCCCATATTCGGGGCTCGCACCGGCTCTCACTTTGACCTCTTCTGGCATCGCAACGACACTCTCAGGAGCTGCGTCTATGCTGCGTTCAAGTGCAGGTGGGTTCATTGAGTTCATGCCAATATGAAGTTAGTTTTTAGTGAGTGGTGAGTGCACCAACTTGGCTCTCACTTTGACCTCTTCTGGCATCGCAACGACACTCTCAGGAGCTGCGTCTATGCTGCCTTCAGGTGCAGGTGCGCTTCAGATGAATTTCCATCAGGTCCTACCTAGTCAGTTTCCCGAGCCATGTGGTTTCTTAGTCGACTTAAAGATCACTCCCGCTCACTCCCTCACTCACTCCCCCCCTTCTCGCCCCCAGCTCCCTCTGGTGCGTGCATTCCCGAGCCATGTTCGCACTCATCGGCCAAAGGGGACCTTCCAAGAAGCTTCTCACCACCATCTCCGCAATCCTGCACCAATCCACCCCTCCTGGCCAACCCATTTCCTCCAACCCCTCCTCTTCTTCTACTGTTGTTGCTGCTGCCAGTGCTGCTAGTAATGCAGCGACCACCACAGCAACCGCAGGACCCTCAACCCCTCCCTCCTCCGTCCCCGCTCTCCCTCCCTTCCTCCTTCTGCCACCCAACAAGGCAGTAGCTTTCTTTGATATAGCACTGCATGTGCGCACACGCTCTCTAGCAGTAGAGAAAGCGGTGAAGGGCGATACAGAGGGGTACCTCAAAGGGGAGTGCGAGGACTGGGACCGAGCCGCAGTGGTCCGGCCACCGTACCTGCGCACGTGCCTGTGGGCCTGCATTGGACACCTGGTTCGGGAGCTGAAACCAACCCTGCTGCAGCAAAGGAGGCAAGCGGAAAAGCGGCTAAGGAAAGAAGGCTTACATGATGGGGGAAAGGGGACAGGAGGGGTGGGGGGGCAAGAAGGGAAGCAGGGAGGGGACGGGGAGGAGGAAGAGGAGGAAGGAGAGGAGGATGAAGAATTAAGCATATTTTTGGCAACAGATGATGTGGAGCATAGAATGGAATTTGTGACTCTATTGAAGCCTCTCGGAGCGGTGTATTTCTCAGCAGGAGACATCTACCACACGTCTAAAGCAAGCCCTGGGAGCCTCGATAGAGGCCTCCCCACTATGGCAGAGTTTTTCATGATGTCTAAGTCGCGCGCTATAATGGAGGCTGGCCCCTATATAAGCACGTTTGCATATTTTGCTGCGCTGACTGGTAATGGGACGCTGGCTGGTGTTAGTACCCAGAACGGGGGTTGTCAGTTGAGACCCGAACACCTTGCCTGGTAACTGTGTAACATGGTACATGTATGTATGATATCAGCAATGTTTTCATAACTTACATTTTGTATCGTATTTCTGGTACAGCTTAGCTAGAGAAACCCTAGCCTAGGAGCATGACTAGACTTTCGGCAGAAGGTGTTCACTTCACTGTTGGAATTGTTACAAGATATAGAGTAGGGAAGGTGGGATAATACAATATTGATCATGTTCAGAATACACTACGCGTCACCACCATTCCATCGCAGCTTCGCCTTCCTCCTTCCCTCCCCATTCCCTTCTCCAGCACCACCACACCACTGTCAGCCGCCCCACTGCATGCAGCCCCTCATTCTCTTTAGCCAGACGATACCAATCGACTGCACCACTTGGAGTCACCACAATTCCACTCACAGCCTTGCCTTGCTCCTCCTCTCCTCGCCATCCCCCTTGCCCACCACCACCGCTGTCAGCCGTCCCACTGCCAGCAGTTGCCCTGCTCTAGGAGCTGAAGCCGTCCCTCCAGACGCTTCTCCCACATCCTGCTGCTCGTCTCGCCTCTGTTTGTCTAGCTTTTGGACGGATAAGCGCACCTCCCACACCTGAGAGGCAATGAAGGGACCGCAACAGATGAGAGGCAGTGGGTGAGACGAGAAAGCAGTGAGTACGTGCCTGTCCTTTGAGCCGACCCAAAAAGTATCACAAAGCAGTGGATGAAAACAAGCAACAATCCGCGTGCATTGAGGTGTATTTTGAGGCGCCTCAAAATACACCTCAAAGCAGTGGGTGAAAACAAGCAACAATTCCTGAAGACAGCATACCTGCTGGTCCTCTTAAACCCTCCTAATTGCCCCTACCTGCTGGCCCTCACAATCTGCACAATCAGGAGCAGACGAACAGCAACAGTGGTAACGGGAGTGCCGAGGGAGCACGGCCTAGGCTGTGGCTGGTGGCCACCTATACTCCTGCCACTGCATCCCTTGCTGCTAGGTGCTCCACTCCCCCTGCTACTAGTGTGATCATCCCTACTTGCTGCCCCGCCTACCTGCACAGTGCTCCCCGCTCGCAGCGGCACAGCGACAGCGATAACTGTAGTGCCGAGGGAGCACGGCCTGAGATGGCTGACGGCCACCTCCACTCCCACCACCAGACCCCCTGCTGCCACTGCCCTACCTGCTGCGAGTCTGTTAATCCCTACCTGCTGCTGCCCCGCCTACCTGCACCGTGCGCCCCGCTCGCAGCGGCACAGCGACAGCAACAACGGGAGTGCCGAGGGGGCACGGCCTGAGATGGCTGACGGCCACCTCCACTCCCACCACCAGCCCCCCTGCTGCTAGGCTCGCGCCCGTGCTGCCGAGGGTCTCCGTGACTATGGCTGATACTCCCCCATGCACGTTGTTGAACGGCTGGGATGGGGGAGGGGACGGAGGGGTAGTGGATGACAGGGGAGTGTGATAGTGAGGAGGGGTAGCGGATGACAGGGGAGTGTGATAGTGAGGAGGGGTAGCGGATGACAGGGGAGTGTGATAGTGAGGAGAGGTGTGTCCTTGGCATTCTGCCTCTGCCCCCCTTGCTGCAAGGCTTGCCGTCTAGTCGTCCGACCCTGTAATGCCTGCTACCAGTCCTGCCATCGACCCTGTAATGCCTGCTACCAGTCCTGCCATCGACCCTGTAATGCCTGCTACCAGTCCTGCCATCGCCCCTGTAATGCCTGCTACCATTCCTGCCATCGCCCCTGTAATGCCTGCTACCAGTCCTGCCATCGCCCCTGCTGCTGCTAGGGTTACTCCCACACAGACTTTTTGAACAGGGCTGATACCCCCCCCCTCACCTTCAGGTTGCTGAAGGGCTGGGGGAAGAGGAGGGACGAGAACAATTGAGAGAAAGAATGAGAACGAGAGAGAGAGAGAGAGAGAGAGAGAGAGAGAGAGAGAGAGAGAGAGAGAGAGAGAGAGAGAGAGAGAGAGAGAGAGGGGATGCTTGTACCCTCCTGGCTTATCAATATACGGACCATTAGGGAGAGAGAGAGGGGATGAGAGAAAATGAGGGGAACGCGGGAGAGGAGAGGGGTCAAGAGAGTGAATGAGAGGCATCGACATACACAGACACCAACCAGCAGCAGTACCTGCGCGGTTGCCTTTTGACCAGCCAGCAGCAGTACCTGCGCGGTTGCCTTTTGACCAGCCAGCAGCAGTACCTGCGCGGTTGCCTTTTGACCAGCCAGCAGCAGTACCTGCGCGGTTGCCTTTTGACCAGCCAGCAGCAGTACCTGCGCGGTTGCCTTTTGACCAGCCAGCAGCAGTATCTGCGCGGTTGCCTTTTGACCAACCAGCAGCAGTACCTGCGCGGTTGCCTTTTGACCAGCCAGCAGCAGTACCTGCGCGGTTGCCTTTTGACCAGCCAGCAGCAGTACCTGCGCGGTTGCCTTTTGACCAGCCAGCAGCAGTACCTGCGCGGTTGCCTTTTGACCAGCCAGCAGCAGTACCTGCGCGGTTGCCTTTTGACCAGCCAGCAGCAGTACCTGCGCGGTTGCTGGGGATGAGACAAACGCTGCGACGACGCGGTGAGGGCAGGCAGAAAGGAAGCGAAGGCCAATGAACTTGTGAATGGGCAGATGGTTGAAGGGAGGCGAGTCGAAGGGAGGGAAATCGATGCAGACACATGCACGTTTGCCCTCATGCTCATCCTTACTCTCTCCAATCCACTGCTCCGCCTCTCCACTTCCCTCCTCTCGATTCCCCAACGCTTCACTTTCTCCTCTCCTCAATGCTTCTCCTCTACTCCCGTTCCCTCCCTTCTCGCCGCCTCCATTCCCATTCTCCCCATTCGCCTCCCCTACATTCCCATTCTCCCCATTCGCCCCTCCTCCACTGTTCTGGGGCAAGGGCACACACGTCAGACGCCCCACTGCCAGCAGCCGGCCAGCCTTAAAACCCTCAGGTGTGCCCTCAGGTGTGCAATCAGGTGGCAACAGCTGCTGCTGAGGCTCTAGGCTCGGTCCTGCATTGCTATCTGGTGACTGTGAGTGACTGGGCCGTGGTGCTGCTCCCTTTTGAATTGACTCAAACGTCAACACGCTAACAGGGGCCGATTCTCCTTGTGCTGGCGCACGGTTGCTTAAAGATGACAGGCGGACCTCCCACACCTGGATTTGTGAATGGTTTGAGAAAGGTTGAGTGGTGTGTCAATGGTTTATAAACGGCTTGTGAATGGTTTGATGGTTTGTGGATGGTTTGCGGCTAAATCTGCCTGAAATGCGTCATCACACACACGCACGGGCGCACACCCACTCACACACACACACACACACACACACACACACACACACACACACACACACACACCCACACCCACACACACATACGCACACACACACCCACTCACACACCACACACACACACACACCCACACCCACACACACATACGCACACACACACCCACTCACACACCACACACACACTGCCACACCCCACACACACCTGAACGGTGCGGCCGACTCTCAAGGGAGTGCCAACAGCAACGAGAGGAGTGCCAATGGGTGCGCCTCTAAGGTGACTGCACGCCACTTCCACCCCCACCACCGGCGCACCAGCAGCGACAGCAGCGCCTAGACTGCCCACTGCCTCCGTGACCAGCGCTGACACCCCCCCATGCAGGTTGCCAAGCGGCTGGGAGGGATGGGAAGGAAAGGAATGGGAAGGAGTGAGGAGGGGCAGCGCCTAGACTGCCCACTGCCTCCGTTACCAACGCTGACACCCCCCCATGCAGGTTGCCAAGCGGCTGGGAGGGATGGGAAGGAAAGGAAAGGAGTGGGAAGGAGTGAGGAGGGGCAGCGCCTAGACTGCCCACTGCCTCCGTTACCAACGCTGACACCCCCCCATGCAGGTTGCCAAGCGGCTGGGAGGGATGGGAAGGAAAGGAAAGGAGCGGGAAGGAGTGAGGAGGGACAGCGCCTAGACTGCCCACTGCCTCCGTTACCAACGCTGACACCCCCCCATGCAGGTTGCCAAGCGGCTGGGAGGGATGGGAAGGAAAGGAAAGGAGCGGGAAGGAGTGAGGAGGGACAGCGCCTAGACTGCCCACTGCCTCCGTTACCAGTGCTGACACCCCCCCATGCAGGTTGCCAAGCGGCTGGAAGCGGTGGGGAAGAGTGGGAAGGAGTGGGGAGGAGTGCGCAGGAGTGGGGAGGAGTGAAGAGGAGACGGATAAGAGCATCGCACCTCCACGCCATCCCAAAGGGCACCAGCGATTGCCACCAACAAGGAGTTGGAAAGGAGGTGATGAACAGGTGGGAAGGAAAGGGCAAGCAGAGGGGAAGGGGGTGGTGAGCAGATGGAAAGCGGTAACCATCACCTGAGCAGATGGAAAAGGGTAACCATCACCTGAGCAGATGGAAAGCGGTAACCATCACCTGAGCAGATGGAAAGGGGTAACCATCACCTGAGCAGATGGAAAGGGGTAACCATCACCTGAGCAGATGGAAAGGGGTAACCATCACCTGAGCAGATGGAAAGGGGTAACCATCACCTGAGCAGATGGAAAGCGGTAACCATCACCTGAGGGGAGGAGGGCGAGGAGGCGAGGAGAAAGGAGAGGAGAAAGGAGAGGAACGCACAGCAGAGGCGGAGAGGAAGCGCGGGGCAAGGAAGGGAGGAGTGCAGGGGGGAAGAAACGCATGGCACCGCCACGCCAGTCAGAAGGACACCAGCAACACCTACCAGCAAGGAGAGGCGAGAAGGAGGTGGGAAGGAGGTGAGGAGCGGGTGGCAAGGAGGTGAGGAGCGGGTGGCAAGGAGGTGAGGAGCGGGTGGCAAGGAGCGGGCCAAGCGGGGGGCCAAAGGGGGTGGTAAGGAGATTTGAAGGGGCGAGTAGTACCGGAGCGTGGAGGAGGGCGGAGACGAGAGTAGCTATGCCGCGATGAGGGAATTTGGAGAGGAAGCGGAGGGCTGGGGAACGAGTGAACGGGAGAGCAGCGAATGATGTCACGCCCCCCCCAGAAAGGGCATCACCAACGATAACTTCTAGCAAGGAGGTGGGGAACGAGGTGGGAAGGAGGCAAGGAGCAGGAGAGGCGGAGGAAAAGAAGGGGATAACAAGGAGATTGAGAAGAGTTTCGTTTCTAGTACCTGGGCGGAGGAGAGCGAGGAGGTGAGGGTAGCGACGACGCGGTCAGGGGAGGCGGAGAGGAAGCGCAGGCGGGAGGAAGGAGTGCGCGGGGAGTGCAGCGCAGGGCATCGCCGCGCCTCCCAAAAGGGGACGCGAGATGACAGTTGCAAAGGAGGTGAGAGGGGTAACTACCTGAGCAGACTGCGGCGAGGAGGTGAGGGTAGCGACGACGCGATGGGGCGAGGCGGAGAGGAAGCGCAGGCCGAGGATGGAGTGCACGGGGAGAGCGCAACGCACGATGGCACCTCCGCGCCTCCCAGAAGGACACGAGCAGTAACCATTAACAGGGAGTTGGAAGTAGGCGGGAAGGAGGTGGGACGGAGGGGGGACGCGGAGGGGAAGGGGTGGGAAGGACTAGGGAGATGAAAAGGGTTCGTTTTTACCTGAGCTGATTGGGGCGAGGAGATAAGAGTGGCGACGACGCGATGCGGGGAGGCGGAGAGGAAGCGCAGGCCGAGGAACGAGTGCACGGGGAGCGCGCTGTATCCCGCCAGCTCCGCTGCCGTCAGCGACCGCCGCGGCTCAGCTGCCTTCGATGACATTTGTGTCGGTTCAAAAGGCTTTTAATTCGGTCGGTTCCGAAGCGCGGCTAGGCTCCGAAGGTTCCTCCAAGCCCGCGAGCGGCGGCACCGTCAGCGGCGGTGCTGTTATCGAGGCGCCTAAAACATTAGCGCGGTGCAGTCAGCGGAGGGTTAGCGGCGGTGCTGTTAGCGGCGGTGCTGTTAGCGATACTCGGGGGGTTGCCTGGTATGGAACCTGCTACCTCCGAGCACGCCAGCCTGTCGCTGGCGTGCTCGGTTTCGGGCGGTTCAGTGCGGGGCGGGAGAGCTCGCATGCACGGAGCAAAAACCCGGTAGCGGCTGCTGAGGCCGCTACCGGGGACAAAACGATGCTACTGAGTGAAATGTAATGTACTGGTTTCTGCATATTCTGCAATAACCAATGAATCACAATCACACAAAGTTCAAATGAATAAGATGAAAACATGTTATTATTTCCGATCAATCAGATATACCAAGAAACCCATTTTTGGAAAATCATACTAGTTGAAAACTACACGTCTGAAAACTCAGAAAAAAAAACAAACAAACAAAACAAAACAAAAATGTTTGATAATGAGGACTCTGCATGTCAGAAACAGAATACTGCGTGTAGTACTGTAAGTTGGGGTACATATACCTAACCCAAACAACTGTAACCCACATGAGATGCCTCACTACACGCTACAACATTTGACACACCCCCATAGTCTAAGTGAAGGGTGTCATGCAACAACCAAACCGTACGGTCACAAGACCAGTCACAAAAAGACAAAGCTCAAGGTGGATCACAACGTCACAACACAGTTCGAGCACAAGCAAGAGGCCACAAGGCCAGTCCAAGAGTTCACAGAGGTATATGTAAAGAGTATAAACATAGCAGACAACACAAGACTACACAAGACAAAAACTTGTGTCAACGAAACCTAATTGCACACAAAACATACAGTGGTCACAAGGCGGAAGGGCCTTGGTCAAGACGTCTCCTGTGTTAGCCTTGGAGCCCGTGAAGTCCAAACGAGCCTGTCCACGCCTCTGCAACTCTCGAATAAGAAAGTACCTGACGCTGATGTGCTTTACTCTGCTCTCCAATCGAGGCTCTCGGCACAGAAGATTCATCGCCTTGTTGTTTGAGAACAAGGTCGCTGCAGAGCTCAGACGCTCACCAAGGTCAGTGAGCAAGAAGGTCAACCAACGCAACTTCTGTGCAGCCATAGCTCCAGCGTAAATCTCGGCCTCAGTAGTAGAGGTCGAGACAGAGGAGGAACGAGTAGACCTCTACGACACAGCTCCGAAGCCTAGACTGAAAGAGTACCCCTGCATGGACATGTGAGTCTCCGCGTTGTCGGCGTAAGAAGAGTCACAGTGGCCAGTGAGCACGACAAGCTGTTTCCCTCCAAGCACCAGCCCCGCGCCTGATGTCGTCGCTAGGTACTTCGCCACCCTCACAACAGCTGTCCAGTGAACAGGACGGTGTCTCCCTGGCGCAACAAAGCGGGCAAGGATGCTGAGAGGGAAGGCGAGGTCCGGGCGAGTACAAGTCATCAGATACATGAGGCAGCCTAGAAGCTCTTGGTAAGGACCACTAGGCTCCAACGGCTCGTCAAGGAAGGGTCCAGTGAGTCTGTGGTCGACAGCAAGAGGAGTAGGCTGCGAAGTGGAGAACTGAAACCCGAACCGCTGAAGAACCTGCTGCACCATGTGTGACTGGGTCAGAATGATGGTACGAGCTACTCTGTCCCTGGTGATCTGCAGGCCAAGGTAGTGGCACAGCTCACCAAGGTCACTGCACGTGCGTCTCTTCTGCAGTTCGGACTTCATGTCCGCCAAAGCAACCGTGTCAGCAGTGGCGAAGACCAGGTCGTCGACGTAGACCGGTACAAAGAAAGGTGTGGAGCCGCGACGAACAAACAGCGACGGGTCAGCAGAAGACGGTTACCTTGGCCTGCAGGGTAAGACAGGGTAGAGCCAAGAGTGTCGTACCACTCACAAGGCGACTGACGGAGACCGTAGACCGGACGTCTGAGCCTCCATTGGGTCCCAAGAGGGAAATTGCCAGTGAAGGCAGAGGGACAACGCAGCCAGACCTCCTCGTGTATGCTACCCTGAAGGAAGGGAGTGGAGAAGTCGAGAGAGTGTAACTCATAGTCTCTCTGTACTGCCACGTGAAGTAACACCCGAAGAGTGGTCATCTTTTGGGTAGGCGCGAAGGTCTGAAAGGAGTAACACCTCCGCGCTGACTGAAACCTCTAGCCACATAACGCGCCTTGAAGACCGGAGGAGATCCCGGTGGCCGCTTCACCTTGAAGATCTACATGCCATCGACTATGTTCATCCCCGGAGGGGGAACCTCGTCGACACAGGAGAGGAGCATGACACAAAGATGAGAGGAAGCGGCTGCTAGGAACTCTAGCTCAAACTGCCTGTCCTCTAGGGCGTCACAGCGAAGGGCAGACCCACCCCCGATGGCCAAAGGACTGGTAGGAGGAGTTGCCATGACACTAGTGGCGTAGTCAAGGCGGCGAGTAGCAGCGAACTCCGTGACAGTGGCAGTAAGGGCGGAGACAGAGGACAGAGAGGCACGAGGGTCCGTAACAAGAGAGGCGAGAACACGAGAGAGAACATGACGGTACGTGCGGTAGTATTCAGTGACAGGAGTAGAGAGGGAAGTAGTAAGGGCCAACCCAGGGGGAGAAGGAAGCAGAGACGGAGACGGACGAGGGGAACTAGAACGAAATAGGACAGTACGAAGGTCAGTGACGGGAAGAAGGGGCAAGGGACGAGCACGAGGAGAGCGAGAAGCCCAAGCGTGAGAGAGAGGAGGGGACAACGGAGGCTGAGAACAAGGGAAAACAGCCGAGGTGGGGTCAGGAGGAGGAAACCTGGGACTATAGATAGGAGGAGAGGGGGAGGAGGGAGGAGAAGGGGAGGGGAGACCAAGTAATGCCTGAAGGCCAGAGACAGGAGGCGTAGGCGGCCACTGCTGCTGGTGCTGCTCCTGCTGCAGCCACTGCTACTGCTGCTACTGCTGCTGCTGAGGCTGCTGCTCCTGCTGCTGCTGCTGCTGCTGCTACTGCTGCTACTGCTGCTGCTGCTGATGCTGCTGCTGCTGCTGCTGCTGCTGCTGCTGCTGCTGCTGCTGCTGCTGCTGCTGCTGCCGCTACTGCTGCTGCGGCTGCTGCCGCTCCAACGCTAGCCTCTCTTGCTCCAACTCCAGCTCCTCCTCATGTGCACGACAAAGAAGGGCTTGGTGCCGGGTCGGGTAGGGGTGGGGGGGAGAAGTAGCGTCCTGGACGGTGGTAGCCCCAGGACCGCTCTCCAAAGCACAAATCGCACCACCCCCAGAGCCCGCACCGCCAGCAGCAACTCGACCAGTCCCGGGCTCTCCAGGTCCAGCAGAGGGCGCACCTGCACCCCCAGTCGTAGCACCTCCAGTGACAGCTCAACGGACACCAGCTCCCCGAAGACTAGAATTTTCTGCAGATACGGGCTCAGCTCCATCTCCAGCACCCCCAGCACCAGAACCTCGTGCAGGCACACTCTCAGCTCCAACTCCAACACCTCCAGAGACACACCACCTCCAGGGTCCGCACTACAGACATCAGCACCCTCAGGGTCTGCAGCAGCCTGTGGAAGAAGTGCTGACGGCTGCTGCGGTGACTGTGAGGAGGACTGCGGAGAAGGGGACGGGACCTGAGGGGCTACTGAGGGAGGGGGGGGGGGGGAGCGTGTGACACACCTGACGGGGCTGGACCAAGGGGGGGGGGGGGGGAGCAGGAGGGGGAGTGGGAGTTAGGAAGAGAGGGGGAGTAAGAACGGGGAGACCTCGACATGGGTACCGGGTTTAGTAGGGGACTGACTTGTCAAAATTGACGTCACGGGAACCAAGGAACCGGTGAAGGGGAGGGTGGTAGAAGGTGAAGTTAGACGAGTCCTCTGGGAAACCAAGGAAGACACACGGAAGGGCGCGAGGAGAGTGCTTGTCCGCGGAGGTGTCGCGAACAAGCGCCAAGCAGCCCCAGACATGAAATGCAACGCAACACCAGGGGACCCAATCCAAAGACTTGTTGGTGAAACCCCTGGCCGGGAGACACGTGGCCAGAGGTTCAGCTGGTGAGCGGCGTATTGAACCACGTAGGGCCACAGAAAATGGGGCGCACAGGCGTGGATCATGGAGGTGCGTGCAATCTCCATGACAAAGCCTATGCGGCGCTAAGCAACCCCATTCTGCTGTGGGGACTCTGGAAGCGTCCTGAACTGGAGGATGCCATGCTCGCGACAGAATCCGGCAAGGATGCCGGAGCAAAACTCACCCCCACGGTCGGAGTGAAGACAACTAACACGAAGGTGACGAGTACCCTCTATGGCGAGCAACCACCGGATCAGCATAGAAGTCACGTCGGATTTCTTTGCTAAAGGGAAAACGGTGATGCAGCGAGAGTAGTCGTCAACGACCACCGGAAAGAAACTCTCTCGCTCAGGATCGGGGCGAGAGGCGGGGCCCCAGACGTTCAAGTGGAGAGTCTCAAAGGGCTCGGTGGCCGGACGAAGGGAGGAGGAGTGAGGGGTGGCGTGCAGTCGACCCTCGACACAAGGGCCGCAAGGTGGTGCAAGCGAAGGCAAGACTCGCGGGAGGCCTAAGACAAGACGCTGACTAGACATAGTGCGAAGGCGAGGAAGGGACGGGTGACCAAGACAGTGGTGCCACAGAACGGTGGGGTGGGCAAGCGACCGACATGAGCAAGAAGCAGTGACCGGACCAGACGCCGTAACCAGACCAGATACAGCCACCTGGTGGGACGCTAGGACCTGATGGGGGGCAGTGATAGGGGGTCGGAGGCAACAGCTGCTGCTCCTGGTGCCTCTCTCAGGGGCCAGTGTGAAGCGTGTAGAGACCAGAACCTGGTTCCTGGTGAAAGGTGGCCAAGGGGCGTATGTGTCACCGTCCACACTGGTCGCAGAGTCTCAAGAAGGCTCAAACCAAACACCAACGTGCTGACTCA